CCCCCCCCAAAAAAAGTTTAATATTGACCAAATTCTTTAATAGCCATACAAAGTGTACCTGTATGATATCAGAAAGCTTCTGGAGTCCACTAGTATTGAGAAATATTCCTGGCTCTGAGGAGAAACATGCATCAAACAGGTCATTTGTTAATTAGTTGCACTGATCGGTATAATAAAACCAGCCAATGTTACAAATGATAAATGACGTGATAATGTGTCTAAGCCAAAATATGATGCCTTACGTTGTGCCAGGTATCCAATGATGTGCTCCAGAGCTTCATAGACTGCTGTCTTGCTGCTGAAGGTCAGATTAGCTTTTTCGAACACCTCATAGATGAAGCTAAGACACAACATAGAGACATGCAGTGCTTATTAGGTTTATTATAACAGTTAAGATTCTGAATCATTCTCTCAGCAGCTTTAAGTGAGAACCCGCACTATGGTTAAGGTACTAACTACAGAGACATTCTATGACCACACTTTATTTGTTCTACCATGCTGTCACCTACATTCCAGGTTTGGTAATGCCTTGATCACTTGGATCATAGGCATCAATGGCAGCTTCCAGATCCAGTAGTATCTCTGTTAAAGCAGAAAATAAGTTTTGAAAATTAACTCTTGTCACAAACCAACAGGACGACTGACTCCGCAATACTTTAATAAATACTTACGTTTGATTTTTGCAATGGTGGACAAACCTAATTTGAAACCTAAAACAAAAAAAGAAAATATTAAAAGACGTGCAGCTGACAATCCTTTACTTAAAATTATTACTATTAATAATTTAATAAGGCCAAGGCTAAACTAAGGCTAATAAAGTTAGTGAAGACTTAAAAGGTAGAAGTAAATCCAAACTTATACAAGTATACAAGTAGCCCAAAATGCCATGAAATTTATACATAACTATACTATATTCCATGGAAAACTCTTTTAGAAACATGTATATAACCTGAGAAATTGAGACAAGTAGGTTTTCTTACCAGAAGCGGAGGTTTCTCCATGAAAGTCTACATTCACAGAGTCTCTGTGGCTGATTTCTTTAGACTGCTCCACAAGCAGCCTGTCCACAGCATTAATGGCTGAGGCTACATCGTAGGGAGTGAGATCAAATGATGTTGATTCTTCACATGTCTTTTCCTGCAAATAAAAGAAGTAAAATTTCCCGGAGGGATTAATAAAGTTTTATCTAATCTAATATAATATAAACATTGCTACCCCAAATTGAAAGGTCTGCAAACGTTCTCTTCATGTTTGAAAATGGAATATGTATCAGCCTATAAATAATAGTGATCGCACCACATTGTGTTTTATTTATTACAAATTGTTTGTAAAGCTTAAGTAACTGGAAATTTTAATACATTTCACTTCAACTATTATGGCATGATGATGACATTAGTACTTTAGTATGCCCAAGAGTACATTTCATACAGGAGTTTGAATTTATGTTTTTTAGGTTCTTTAATTAATAAAAGAAAATATTTGTTCATGTTTAAATACTGTACACTGAGCATTTTGTGAAATTGTAGATCTACTGTAATCAATCACTTGTAATGCACAGTAATGACATGGGATTTATTAAAAAATGCATTTTTTTGTGAAGCTATGCTGTTCAATATCTGGCTTGCCAAAGGATAGTTCATTAAGGTGAATTTGTGCATGTACTTGTATTTCTCTACACTAAAACAAAAGAAAATCTGGAAGCATTTGTTTTAATATGTGCTTAGGGTTTGAGCAGCCCAGCGGTCTTTATTTAGGCTCTATGTGGCCTACAAGTTAAAATGAATTTGAAAGCCTTAGTAGTGGGTCACTTCTGGTCTTCGAAGCTTTAATTTAGTTTACTTAGTGAATACATTTAACAAAGGAAAGATATAACCATACCACATTGTGAGCCTCGTCAAAGATAACCACAGCTCCATTCAGGTCGATACTGAGTGCCTTACGGCTCTGTGGAATGGAAAGACGGAGAGAGCGAGAGAGTGGCAGTTGAATATTAGGATTCATGGAAATTGGAAATGACAGTGCCAATCATAACACTAAAGTCTCTTTCAATGCTCAATTATGGTCACATATATCATCCTGAGATGTAATGAGGATGGATGACTGAGCTCACCTTTGGATCTAGCAGGTAGTTGTATGGCATAAAAATGACATCTGCTTCTTGTTTCAGTGAACGAGAGAGGTAGTAAGGACAGACTCTGTGGAAAAATGTGCAAATCCGAAATCAAATACATGAACTTCAAACAAAAACAGACCCATCCTGATAGCTGGGTCTAAGTGTTGCCAG